ATGCCATGTTTTTGGATTGTGTAGTTTGTTTCAGCTCCACGAAGCAGCTGGGAGTTGGAAATTACTCCTTTCCCCCAAACAAATGGTCATAAAACCAGAATCGAGCTCATAAATCTTGCTGTGAACTAGTTGTACAGTTTCTGCAGGATTACACATCCATTGCTGCAAGACGTTGAAAGTACTTATTTGTTATCACCCTTTTAAAGTCAAATGCGTGAAAAATAAATGTACTCCATTATGATTAACACAATGACCCACAACTGCGCCTATGGAGGTACAGCCTTGCAAAGCAAGTTCTGCCTGTACTGCCATTGTCTGAACTGAGGGGTTTCCTGCAAGTCGTAAGTCTTTTTTTATTGTGGTAATATATAAAAACATGAAATGTAATAGAAAAGTATCTCAACCGCTGGTGTTAGGTCTTTGTCCATCACTGATTTATATTGGGAACGCACGGCCTCTGGTGAATGGTACAGGGAGGGGAGAAGAAAGTAGGTTCAGTTCATGAGCAAATGGTCTCTGATGCCCTTTGTGGAGCTGGGAGAGAAAGGGGTTTGGGATACTGCTGGTGCCTGTAATCCTTTGGGGTTTAGAAAGAGATGACAGCATAGCAAGAGGAGGTTGCTAATGGTCTGATGCAATCACTGGTGGTTATTGTTTCCAATTACTCTGGTATCTCTGTAAGTTAACCACAGAGGATTCAAAGCTTTAAGAGGGAATTTAGGTTGCTATGCATAATAAAAACTCGGCAAAAAAAGGGAATGCAAGTCTTTATTCTCTCAGTGGCAGGAATTCTGATTCCACACCTCTATTTTTACAAATGGGCCCAGCACAGGTTTTGGGTCACTGCCTACATATGAAACCCTTTCCCCTTTGCAGTGCAATCAGCTAACCTATGAGTACAGGTTTCCTACAGAAGTGTTGTGGCCAATGAAGCAGAAACTTGAGTCCATCTAAACACTTCTTCACTTGTGCTCTGGCAGGCAGGAAGAGACTTCACAGCTCAGAGTGCCAGGACGGTAGGCCAGAAAACAAGTGTCATCGACAGAAACATGAAGGTGTGCAGTGAGGAAGCGTGAGGTTTTTGAGTGAGATAAAACTCCAGAGATTCTAAGTTTTCTTTTCCCAGGGCTAAAAGCTTCTGAAAATTATTATACCGAGAGATGTGCAGTGCTGCATTTCCCTGTGTTTCAGCCACCTGTCTCCCGGGATGGGTATTTCCCTTGGAGACCAATTGTGCAGAGATTTGATCAGCATGGGAGAAGCTCAGGACAAGAAAATATGAAGGCTGGACTCACAAAAAGATAGTGACTCAAGTGGGGTTTCATGAAAGAATTTATCTTCATGTGAAACCTTTAATTGTAATACTGCCTGAACATATATCCCCTCCAGAAGTTTTGGAGCAGTCGTCAGCTACTGCCAGGTCAGATTAACCAACCACATCGATTTCACCTTCACAGTCTAAAGAAAAAGTGGAATATTAAACATATCACATATTAAAGCCAAGCTTAAGGTATTTCTATTGTTACTGTGCAGACAGACCTGAGTAACTGTATGCAAACTCTTTGACACAGAAAAAGGATGGCTGCAGTTTTCTTTTCAAGCTGATAGAATAACATCTTTACAATAAAAAACTCAGGTTTGTTGTGGTTTTTTTCCTCACTCCTCCTCTTCCCACTTTCATTTATTTATTTGTACTTTTGGCTCTCCCTTGTCAAAGATTTCAGACTCATCGCTTTAGGACAAAAAGAACTGTGATGACAAATACGGTTGTTGCATTTCATCTTATTCCCAAGGGTCTTTTCTTCTGCAGATGATGAGCATCTGCTCCTAGTCATGTAGAAATCTGATTAACAAAGCAGGATCTTTGATTAGCATATTCCAGAAATTGTTTCTTATTACAAGCTCTCCTTAGGGCTCGTGTTGCTTAGCAGGAGGGGCAACCTTCCAAACTTACTTAATATCTTGAGGAACTTTGCAGACATAGAAATCCCTATTTTGACCTTTTATGTGCATATGGATCACGCATTTTGCATAAGTGGGGAAAAAACTCCTTAAATAATAATTCACATTGTGCGGTTTTTGGGTGCCTTCTGACATAGCCCACAGTTTTGCTTCAATTTAATAAACTTCCTTCTACTGTTTTTGAACTGTGTGTAAGGGCTGCTTGTAATGAACAATAAATGATCTTCTATAGTGTGTTCCACTCAAAGATCTTCATGAGCTTTTCCACCATGAATGAAATAATTCATCCAACATGCAAGAAGGGAAGAGCTTTATTTGTTGTTATTGCCAGGTAATTCTTTTCAGATTTTAGAAGCAAGACACAGAAGTGAAGTGGAGGCCTTATATAAATGGAAATAGTGACTGGGATTTCAACCACATCTTTTCCCATCCCTTTGCTTCCAACTGATGACCATTCTACAATAGTTTCCGTTTTGAGACAAGGAGACACAAAAGTACCAAATGTAATCAGTTCTAAGTAATGTTAAGTTTGACGGCTTTGTAATGGAAAATAACTGCGGTGCTTGGAGGTAGTTGACATAGTTTCAGGCCCTCAGGGCCTCAGTACAAAAGGTGTGAGAAAAGCAGAATAGAAGGACCGGACCTGGGATGGGGAGTATCTGGGACTAGCGGATGCCCAGGATGAGAGCAGTTAAACTAACTGATAAGTAGAAGGCCAGGATGATTGCGATGTCTGTAATGTTAATTAAGCTTGTTGGGAAAAGTAAACGACCCTTAAAGACCACCACATTTTGTCTGCATGCCGGAAACCTTTTGGAGAATGATGTAATATGCTCGGTGACCATGTAAGGATGACCTGCATAGCAATTCGGGGACGCACGTTAGGAGGAGCTATCCCCCGTGTCTCCCGGCGCCGCAGTAAAGAATACCTGCTTGTCAACTTGAAACTCTGTTGGCAAGTTTGTTCCTGGAGTTTTCTCCGAATCGGTTTTCAATACACAATTTTTTAATTGCAAAATATTTGAAAGTTGGGTCTTTTTAAGCAATAGTGTATTGTGTGATGCTATTTCAGAGCACATACTTCAGAATTGCATGCGGTTTTATTGCCTTAGAAGACTTAAGGAATTCCTGAAGTGGATACAGTTCTTTAATGCTAAGTATTGAAACTGTGCAAGATGTCCCCTAGACCAGGTGGGCCTAAATCTTGCTTCTCTTATTCATGACAAAATCATATCGACCTTCAAAGCTAAACCCATATTCCCACTAACTGGCTGACAGAAAACTACGAGCACAAGGCCAGAGAGCACTCACCAGCAGCCCAGCAATGTTGGCAGCTATTAGCCCTGGGCTCCTAGCCAACTTGCACAATGGTTTCTGTTGATGCAGCATTTTGCATCAAGGATGTGTCACCAGCAAAACGCAGACAACGTGCATGTGCTCCAGTAAAAGAGCAAAGCCAGCTGCAGGCGAGCAAAACTTCTGGTCATTGCATATTTTTATGTGGATGTGACCTTTGAATCTCATCAGCCCACTCAACCAATGCTCTGGTGACCCTTCATGCTCCAAGTAGTGCTCACTCATCAAAGGCTTTGCAGAAGGAGGGTATCTCGCTCTGGTTTGCATCTTAAGAATAGGTGAGGAAATTGTGGCTTACCATTTCAATCCCTGCCATGTATCTGCCTCAGTCTCCAGTGAGAGCAAAGTAAAAGGATTAAGAAAGTCGATCTTACCCTGTGTGTTCTGGGAAGGTAAAGAGAAGGGGATGGGCTATGCCTCCAGCCTGTTAGTTTTGTCTTGGAAAAGACACTAAAAGGCAACAGCCTGTGGTCTTTTCAGTGGGGCCGACCCTGGCCCCGCACGCAGTGCCTATGTATTGTCCTAATGGCAACTCATGGGATGCTGATGCCTTGCTGTTTATGGTAAGGAAACACATGGTCTCCCTTTTCCATCAGTTTTAATGGCTTTAAAAAGAAAAGCTTTTAACACTTTTGTTTTGTTTTTACGGTTTCCCCAGTGTCTTGCACCAAAGGCATTCCACTAAATACATATGCACTACTGAAGCTCAATTGCCCATCACAAATGTGTAATGGGTGTTAATGTGGTGAGAACTTGTAGCTATGGCTGTTTAAACCAACACCAAACAGCTGCACGGCAGGAAAACAGAAGAATCCTCTGCTTGATGAAAGGACATTTGCTGTCATATAAAGAGATTTGGTACATAGTGAAGTGAAGCTTCTTGTACTTCAAAGAGTGTCCTTTAAAAGTTTCTCTAATGGTTCTGTAAAAATGGGAAACTCAGTTATGGTAATGTGCAATAAAAGCTTTATACAGTCCCCAAAACCAAACTAAAGTTGCTCATTTCCAAGAGTGGCCCATTATCTGGGGAGGGAGAGAAGAGGTAAAATGTGATTTGAGGATACATTGTAGAGGAACAGAAAGTCAAATCCATACAAAATAATGCCCAAAAAAAGCTATCTAAAAATCAGTTCTTACACAAAGATGAAGTTTCTCTGTATGGCTGTGAGCCAGATTTTAGCAAGAGGATTGCTAAAGGGATATGTTCAGGAGGAAGGTTCATGGGATCTTTCCTAATCAAAACCATAAAGAGGATACCAGAGGGTAAGCCCTAGTATCCTGCACTTTCCAGTGCAGGATTGCATGTCACATTGCATGTCAGTTATTAGATAGCTTCTAAAATGCTAGTCATTTTGTTACTTGTGATTGTGTTTTATTCCACCATAACTTTTCTAGGAAATGAACTGCATGATTATTATACCAGAACTTTATCCCAAAGTATCATGTCTAATACTAATGTGAATGCCAAGTTATACTCAAATCACTATTCAATAATCAGTCTTCAGGCTGTCGATCTCTGTTTAACATGCAGTCTGAAAACAGCAGCATATACTATAAAATGGCAAAGCATTTATTCACTCAGCAGTGGGAGTGTTCATTCTAACCCTTTGTCATCTGCCAAGCAAGAGATAACTTTATATACATTTCTCACTTTCTTTTTTAATGTATCTTTTCTTTTATAGCCCTTGATCCATCTAAAGATCCATGTTTGAAGGTGAAGTGCAGCCCACATAAAGTGTGTGTCACTCATGACTATGAAACTGCTATTTGTGTAAGCCGCAAGCAGCTGGTACACAGGTAAGGAAACTTCATGTTGTCGAGGTTTTTGTGTCTTCATAGGCATGCAGCATGATGAAAAGAAATGAAACGAGAAAACTCCAAAAGGAACATTAAACCCCATAATTTAAAACATTACTTTAAAGTTATTATTTATAATGGAGGTGATTCCAAAAAGATGAACTAGAATATGGTGCACCATGTGGAGAGCAGAATGCTCCTTCAGTTCTGGGAGTGGTTTTCTCCTCCCAGAGAGCAGTAACTGTGCAGATTTTGAAGTCTGAAAACGTGCAATATGAAACATTGTGAAATATGAGACATCTACAGTTGCAATAACTTAATTAGGAGCAATTAAAAAAGAGATTATTAAAGATGGGGTTCTTTATATATATATCAAACATCTGCTTGAATTTGCTGAAGAAGTGGAAAATGTTGGTGGAGCATTGTGGAGCAGCTCCCTGAGGAGTCACATAATTACAGAAAGCTCCAGATCAGATTGCTGGATGACTGAATTACGAGCAAATGAAATAGCTAATGTGTCAAAAGCATTGGCCAAGATGTCCAAATCGGACCACAGAACTTCACTGAGAGAAGCTGCGAATAAACAAAGCAAAGCCTACTGGGCATAGGTTGAAATTTGCTACAAACAATGAAGAATCAAGAGATTTATAAACAAATTTAGAGAAAACAAACTAACATTGCCCTATTTTGGAAGCAGAGCAAGTAGAACTAGGAAGGAAAGTGATCTGGAGTATCTCCAGAGTCTCTGTGAGTCAAGATCCAGAATAAAACCAAGGAAATAACCCTAACTATCCTGTGATTAACCCAAACTATTCTATGATTCTATTGGGTTGCATGGTTTGGTGTGAGGTGTCCCTGCCCATGGCAGGGGGGTTGGAACTAGATGATCTTAAGGTCCTTTCCAACACAAACTATTCTATGATTCTATTCTATTAAATAAGCCCCTTCATTTACCTATAGATGTCAAATAAACCGGTACTGCTGTAATGAGCATCTCTGAGTGGTTGCTCTGTGCTTTAAGACAAATATGTTGCCTTGCTTTCATTACATTTGAGTGATAAATCTGGGGACTTGTCTCCAGTTTCCTATCCTATTCTGTAGGGATGCAAAAATTTGCCTGTAACAACTCAGATCCCTAAATGTCATTGTCAGCCGAGATCGTAGTTCCACAAGTGTTTAAGCCAAACTGAATTCAGGATGATCTGATTCCCACATACTTAGCACTACATCTCATCTCCCTGGTACCTGGCTGAGGAAGCCAGTGCAGTAAAGAAAATACTGGCTTTGATTTATGCTACAAAGTTAATGGTGTAATGTGTGTGAGGCAGTATGTTTAATCTTTGGTTTTCAATATGGAATGAACCCTGGAAGGATGTTAGGAGTATGGCTATGTGCAGTCTTACATTCTAATGACGTTTTTGGCATTATATAGCTTACATTTTCTGGTTAAGATGGATTTAAAGCAGTTGCATTATATAGTAGTCCTTATGATATATAGCCATAGATGTTGAGCCAAATGCTTTCTGAGCTATTTCCAACACTTAATGCCCCCAAAATGGTCAAAGTGGTACAGAGTAATAGTATAGAGGAGGAGCTGAATCTCCTTTTTTTTCCAGAAACCAGGCTGTGTTTCTTGTGATCTCTCTACGATCCCTCTGCTGCCTGCAGCTATTTCTGCTAACCTTTGAGTAGCACAGTGTCTATGGAGATGAATAGAAAAGTATTGAAAACTTACTTTGAAAAGTCTCCAGTTTCCAGCAAGTTTTGTAATGCTGGAAGAACCACTGCTGATGTGGGATAGTGGCACATACATCCCCAAAGTGGTTTTATTCTCACAATACCCAGCTACCCTTGCCTCAGAGGGTGGACGTGGCAATGAGGAAAGTAACTAGGCCAAATCCTCTGCTGCTTTGAATCAGTGGAGTGACACCATTAATGGTTTTCATCTTTAGTCCCACAACATTCTGTTCCTTTTTCTGGGCCTGACCTGAATACTGCTGTATGTCTGACTCCACTCATATTTAAGGCTGTGTTAATCAGGAGTAAAATTCATTACAAGAGGTGGAGCTGCACCTATATAAAACCAGTGAAAGCCTGGATATATTAGTGTGGACATACGTGTAGTAAGAGCCATCAAGGAACACAGCACCATTGCGATTGCTTTGCACATCCACAGTGCTTTTGGGTATGCTCAGAAGGATTTTTCATTTCATGCATCATTATCAACTTGCTGTAGTGGCTTTATAAAGCATGTAGGCTCAGCAAAAAGTAATCTGGAGAGCAACATCTTGACGTTATTGCTGAGGCTTCCAGACAGAGTTACGCTGATTTGCAGCACCTGATTAACTGGCCCACTGAATTGCTGCAGCACAAGGAAGCTGGATTTTTCCAGGTATAGTGTAGCTAACTTTGAATTCACCAGTGACAATGCAGTGCCGTTCCTGTTTTGTTTCCTTTGTGCTGGGATATGCACTTTTTAAATCACTGCAGGAATACAATAACAGCGTATGAAATTGAGTTAAATGGAAGCTTGTTATTTTAGATTTACTCAAACCCTGGCTCCATGATGGCTAACTCAGCCTCCAAGGCTTTCAGTCTCATGCCTTTACAGTAAGACTTTCACATCTGACAGCATGGCTGTCACATATTTCAGAGGGCAGTGGCTTTGATCCTACCCATGATGGACATGATGGTGCTGGGTGTGGGATCCCCTCACAGGGCACTGGGATGGGTTCTGGGAGAGCAGCTTACAGTGTTGGTGGGTTTGGTCCTGGGTTCTCTCAGGGCTGCCGAAGGAGCTTTCTGGAAGTCCCATTCCCAGGGGCAGCCTGGGTCCCTCATGGTCAGTCCCCTGCTTCCCTCTTCTTCCTCCCTTCCCCAGTCACTTGGTGAGCAGTGCTGGTCTTGAAGATAAGGGAGAAGATGTCCAAGAGGTGTTTCAGACAGAATCCCACGGCATGCGGCAGGGGGTTGGAACTAGGTGATCCTTAAGGTCCTTTCCAACTCCAACCATTCTATGACTCTATAAGAGTGTTTTGTCAGGACATCCTCTAAGGTGTTTCCAGTACAAATTGGACAGGGCACTAAGAGAAAAGGCAAGGCTGAGCAGTGATTGAAGAGTATGAAAAAGACAAATTTCAAAGTACTTTCTTATATGCTTAATAGTCCTCGGACTAACAATAAAGCCTTACAGAATCTTTTGTATGGATTAAAACCCCTTTCAGTTTGAACATGATCTATGAGGAAAAGTTGTTATTAGTTCAGTTTTACATGAAAAGCAGTAGTTAATCGCTCACAGATTTCTCATACATTTGCAGTCCTCTAAAGCTTGATGCCCTTTGCCTCTGCTGGTGTTGCGAGTGCAGGTGATGGGAAGGAAAGATGTCACTCCTGGGCTTTTTTGAAAGGAACAGAATGAGAAAAGAGGATTGATGAAAATATAACGGGCATATTAACATGTCCAGGGTTTACAGCTTTATTCAGTCCATTTAACTCTCAATCACCAATTAGTTCATCACTGCAGCCTATGTCACTCATAAAGGTAATCAAGCAACGTCGCTGCTTCTCTGCTGTGACTTAGAAATCCAGCTCTTTATTCTGTATTTCTTCATTACTGTTGAGGCTGTTGCTGCTGGCACAAGAGGCCACTACTGAGTTCCTCATGATTTTTTTGAAGATCTGGACATGTTCCCAGATAAAACATCTGTTCTTCTAAATTACCTATCAAAAGCTAGGGCTGACCAATGTGGCAGTGATGGCACCTACACTTAGCCACAATGAACAGACAAATCTCCCTCTCTTCCTCTATAAATCCTGCAGGTGACACGCCATTTCTGGACCCTGTTTTAAACAAGTTCAGTAAAACGTCCCCATATGTGAAACAGGGCATTTTGACACCACTGCTATTCTATGTGCTATTTGTGTGTTTTATATTGTATCCAAAAGGGAATTCACTAATGAGGAAAATTAATAATTGCAGGAATGCCAGTGACCCATCTGCTTTCAAGAAGTGCTTGGGAGCTTTATAGTGCAGTCTTTGACCGCAACAAATGCGCTTTTAGGGATTTACTGAAAAGTTGTGCACATAAGCAAGGATTTTAAACACTGTTATTCCTCGGTGTCTATGCACTGGATCAACAGCTACCTTTTAAATTGCACTGAACATAGGGTCTATAAACCCTAACCCTGTTGTTCTGCTCTCCTCTGACTCATGCATATCTGTGTTTTCTCCTGCTTGCTTTGCTAAACGCTAATGAAGGTTGGCACAGCACCAAAGGCTCCTCTGGGGGAACATCTTCTTGTGCTGAAAACATGACTCCCACGTTCTCAGTGGCCTGAAAGATGTGAGGGAGGGCTTGATTTTAAGCTCGTGATGCTTAATTCTGCATGATTTATGTGGTAATGTTTATTAAAACCTGAATATGTGAACAATCTGCATGAGCTGTTGTGTAGAACCAAACCTGGGAGATGATTAATTCTCTTTGGATCTACTAATAACATCTGCTTGCTCCCCAATTAGCCTTGCTGTGTTCATAGCTTTTTCCTGGTCCCTTGCTCATTTTCATGCTGATTCAAAAAAAATAATGGTTGTTCACTTGTGCCTTAAGTACAACTCAGGAAAAAAAAAACATATCCCAGAGGGATCTTTACAAAATAACATTGTTCAGCTTCCTGGTGGTTTATTTATCAGAGTTAACTGTGCGCGTTTCGCTTGTACAAGTTCTCTTGAAAGGACTACCACAAGCAGAAGACAGAAGAACCCAGACAGTAACAGGACAAGACCATTGTGTAGTTTATTCATTTCTTTACTTTCTCCGTGGAAACTATCCAACTAGGGTTTCTAGTAAGCTTTTATTATTTCCATCTTTCCTGCAAATCCCTACTTTTCCTTTAGTTTGGGCTAAAATGAAGAGGGAAGGGATGCGCCTTCCTAATAGGGTGATTTCTCCCTTTTCACTGAAGTCTTGTTGCTTTTCTGTAAGCTGGCGGATGCAAAACAG